GTCACTGGCGGTGAGATGAGGAGTGGCCATAGCTGGAGCCATTCCCACAGCAAGCTGCCTCTTCCTCTTCAGAGCATCATTTTTCCTTCAAATCAGTGCGAGTTCCTGCGGCAGCCCCGGCATTGTGCCAGCTCACATCATGGGCTGCCCTGGAGCGAGACCAAGGGTCCTCAACATCTCCCCGTGGAAGCGAGCTGTCAGTCGCTTTTCCCAGGGTGAAGGTTGAACAACTCCAAATGCAAAAGAAAGCTACTGGAACAAGAGAGGGATTCAACCCCCTCTGCCATCCCACAGCTTCATGCTCACGAGATTCAGCTCCGGGGAGACCCGTAATTATCTATTTCCAGCGTCTTCAGCAGAGCGTGAGGACACAGCAGCATGGGATTCAGTGATTCATCAGTGACCTTCAGGCACTATGGATGTCCGTTAAGGGGGACTAACATAGTCTACAGAAGCTGGTAGCTGGTCTGCTGTGATTTTTCAATTCTACATTAATTAAATTTGCTTTAAAAGTGAGATATGATGTTATCATTAAAATGGGATATGTTCCCTCTCCCTTCATTACAGTGGAATAATCGAGAGTTGCAGAATAAAAGATAACAATAGCAAAGTAAATTATAATATTTTGCAATATTTTCAGTCCAGGTTATTTTCTAAAGACACAAATCATCCTCCTCCTGAGTTCATCATCTTCCTCCCAACAGCCAGCGGTGCTGGGAGGCAGCACTGGTGCACACTGGTGGGATTGCACCCAGTGCCTGCTGCTGTTTCATGGCTCAGTCCTCGGTCTGTGCAGCCCAGCATCTCCTCAGCTGGGAAACCACAGGCTGAGATGAGCATCTTGCTGTGGAAGGAGTTCAGAGAGGCTCCCGCTCTGACAGCTAAAGTCAAAACTCAGCAGAGCTTGAACTACATGTTTCCACATAAAACACCCTTTGGCTGCAAGCAGCCGCTGTGGCTACACTGAGAATGGCTTTTGTTTGAAACATATTGATGGACATTTGTGTCCCTTCCCCGGGGACACCATGCAGACAGCTACAGTCCCGTGTCCTCCTCCATCCTTTTCACTCCTGACATGAACTGACGGGCTGGGGGTACCCTCTGCCCATGAGGGCCCAAAACTGCCCCAGGGACCCCACTGCTGTCACTGCCCTCAAAACACGAGTGCAGTCGCCCCCAGTGACCAGCAATGCCCCAGATCCTCCCAGTTCACCCTCTCAAGACCTCCAGCAGTGCCTGGAGCAAAAGATGCCAGCATCTTTTACTGTCTTCACCTTGCCAGTCCATCCCCATCGATGACGCTGGTGTGAGACCCATCACCCAGAGACCTCCCACGCCTCTCTGCTACCATGTGTCCCAGTGGTATTTCAGTCACTGATAGTCATCACAAAAGATCACCCATTTTTCAACACGGATGGTAAGTTTTTGACCACATGCTGACCCTGGTTTAGGATTTCTCCTCCTTACCTTTGGGATTTTACCAGCAGAGGGCAGGTCAGGATTGCACCATGAGCAGAAAAAAAATGTAGACACACAGGAGGGAGAGAATTTCACCTGGGGCAGGCACCAGCAGAACTGAATAAGCAACATTTTTCATACAAGGGAATTTGGCAGAGCAAGGACTCACTCCCTGCTGGAACACCTGCTGCAGAGCAGATCTCCCACAGCCTGGAAGTGGCCTTGTTCACTCCAAGTAGCAGATGAAGGCTCGTTCATCAGGACCCTGTTTCGTTCTCAGTGTTTAACACCAGTGTGTGCCACTGAGCAACCCCAGCCGGACTGCGCCCAACGCAGCCCACGCGTTCCCATAGGCCTCTTCATTATGGTTTTTTGCCTGAAGAATGAGGATGAAGAGTGCGTGGAGAGTTCGGGGATTTCCCCTACAGGGTAGATCAAAAGTTGCCAGGATATGTTAGAGAAGATGTTTAGGCTAAAGAAAAACCCTGGGGGGGGAAAAAAAAATGATGCTCCAGTCCCGGGCTATTGCTCTAATCACCATGTTGCTGTGGGGAGAAAACCCCACGGGCCTGAACCGATGCCCTCCCACCCGCTCTGGCTCCTGTTTGATCAGCAAAGATCAGGAAGTGGGTTTTTTCCACTGTCTCTGTTTTGTTTTACCACTGTAGCCCGCGGGGCTGGTTTGTATGCCTGTCTCCCACGGAGGGTAATTTGGTTCCTCTCTCTGGCTGAGGCCACACTGAGCTCCCATCGCTGCCTCCAGCCGGGTCGGGGCAGCCCAGGCAGCAGCGGGACAACCCGTCATCAATAGCCCTATTATTGCTCTTGAAGTTTCTCTCCGCTTCCAAACGGATGCTGTGTTACTCCATCACAGCTGCAGTTGCTCCCTTCCAGCAATTCCCAACACGGCACTTAAAGCAGGGATTTATGGGCGGTTTTGAAAGGCATTTTGGACTGAGAAGGAGTGATGGGAAAGGAAGTAAAATTCCCACCATTCCCCGGAAAATTCTCCCAACATCTTTCACGCGCGGGATCATTTACTGGTCCTTTCCTCAGAACAGAGACAAGCTCTCAGCTGTGGCTCTTTGTTTAGTCCAAAGCATTTCCCGACAGCAAGAAGCAGCGGGGGTTATTCTGTCCTCCTTGCAAAGGGTCAGGAGACCGAGGCGAACCCTCAGAGTCTGGCTGCAAAGCTCTGCTGGACCCGATTTGTTCCCTGACATTTTTGTGGATGCTGGTAGCTCAATGAATTTATTTGTTCTCAAGCCACGGATTATTGCCAATCTCAGGGCAAGCACTGCTGTCTGTCTGGCTGATTTTGTCTCGCTTAGTGGTTTGCAAAGTAAAAAAGTCGTAGGACCAGAGTTACCGAGAGCAGCAGCTACAAAACAACCAGCAGGGATGTTGTTACCTTACAAGCTCCATCTTACCTGTTTTGAAGCTTTTCAGGAAAAAAATGTTCCTGCAAAACTAGCAGTCATCCAAGCAGGCTGGATGAGCAGGACAGTTTCACATCAACAACACTACATTTCACAACCAGGGCAGGGGTTTGAAAGACTTTATTTGACACCTTTGCTGGATGTCACAGCTTGTGAATCTAACAGCTCCGCACAGTGTAAAGTGAGGCTGGGCTACTTGCTGTGAGCTCTAGCGTGCCAACCAGCCGCAGGAACAACCGGGGTCTGCAAGGACCTCCTCTGACTTTATTGAAAGGGAATACGTTGTTCCTGACTGACTTGAGCACTTCAGGACAAGGGTGAGGAGAAGTAGCAGAGGCATTTCTGTGTGTTAAGTGCGATGACGTTCATCAAAACAACTGGGAGAGACTCACTTTCAAAACAATAGCAGATACATATATCGACATGCACATGGCAGATACGATCTGTAGGAACGCAAACACCAGCTCATCCACAGCGTCTAACCGGCTGCGCGTTTGACCTGAGGCATGGGGACAGCCTCTCCCACTTGAGAGAGGTTTTCTCCCTCTTTTTTTTTTTTACCTTTCTTTGCATTGACCTTTTCATACTTGTCTCTTTTTCATGTCACAGTGCTGCAGAGGTGGGCAAGACTCCTTGGGGTGGGCATGCAACTGGGTCCAGGCTATCCTGTATCCCAGCAAGTCAAGGCACAGATGCAGGGAACGGGGGCTATTCAGACAAGGGGGAGCACGTGGAGACCCTGCCCTGCCCACCACAGGAGTTAGGGATGTGGCACAGGAGCAGGGTGGCTCGAGAGATTCAGATTTCTGTTCCTTTCTGCCCAAAGAAGAGAGGAAGGGAGGACAGCTGGAGGAGCAGAGGCGTATCTGCTGTGTCCATTATCTAGGGGCACACAGGCCAAGGCAGAAGAAGCTTTTGGGAATCAGGACAAGTGCAGACCCGGAGCTTGCCGAGGTCTGTGGTAAAACCTCAGTGGATTTTGGTCCTGGTTTTTGGTCCCAGATGAGTAATGTAAGACCAAAACATGGTGCGGAAGAATGAGAACAGAGACACTGTGGGAGGAGAGGGTGAGGGATGCAGTGCTAAGAGGGAAGGAGGGAGGCACTTCAAATGCAGGCTGATCTGACCCATTCCCCCCCTTTGCAGTCATGGCTGTTCATTTTTAGCAGGGGACAGAGGAGAGACAGCTCCAGCAGAGCGACTGGCAGAGGGAAAGGCTTTTTCTTCTCACTTTGGCTGTCAGAGCTTTCCCCTCTGTGACAAACAACCCTTTGAAATCCTCTGTCTCGCCTGGTCTTGCCTCTTCACACCTCGGTGTGGAGCAAGGGCTGCAGAAACATCCCATCCACCCAGGCAGCCTGGCTGGCTGCTCCTGCATGGTTTGTGCAGGGACCCAGCACAGGCCCTGCAGACACGGCAGGATTTCAGCTCAGCTGTGGGAACCAGCTCTGTTAAGCTGTTGCCTCACTCCACCTTAAGGGCACATAAGTGGGAAAAGCTGGTAATGCGGTGAGGAAAGCACAGGGATTAGCAGGCAGCCAGTTCGCCAAGGGAGCTGGAGGGGCTTTAGCCTGCCTTGACGGGTGCCAGCAGTGCAGGGGAGGGGGGTGAGCTGTGTCTGTCCCACCACACCAAAATTAGGTGCTGCAGCCGGGGGACACATCGCAGGGAATCAGCACGAGCAAGTCTCTTGTCTCACAGCTCTGAGACCCCCAAGGAAATAAGTCAGTATTTCAAGGCTGACTGTTTTCCGCAGGAGAGCAACGCTGGGCTCTGCAGAGGGGATTGCTGGAGGAGGGACAAGGTTGGGATCTGCGTGTGCCCCCTCCCTCGTAGCTGGAAGGGTCTGGAGTAGAGCCGCGTGCAGACAAGTGCATCGAATTGGATGTGATTTACGTTTGCAGGCATCACGAGGGAGAGGACATGTGATGGTGAAGCGAGAAAGGCAGTGTGAGGAGGAAGGGAAGAGTAAAGAGAATTTTCTTTATGGATCCTTGGCTTCTGCAAAGCAGGAAAGATGCTTTTTCAGCTGAGTTTGTTCTTGGGCCTGTGGGCAATGAGTGCTGAAGAATTCCTATCTCCGAAGGGAAGGGGAGGGGGGGGTCAGAAAGCCCCGATTTCAGTAGCCCAGGAGCGGCAGATTCTGGATGTCCCAACCCTGATCCCAGGTCCCTGCGCAGCAGCACCCAAGGCAGGAGGCACCGTGTAAGCTGGTGGGACAGGGACGCCAGCAGAGGCTGGTGAGAAGAGGAACGTTGCGATTTGGCTGCTCTTGGACGAGCCCTCTCTCAACACACCCGCTGGCGATGGCATCCTGGGCACGGCCGCGGCGGGTGGCGACCAAGCGGGGGTGCGCCCTTGCCCTCGACCCCGCCGCCTCGGGCCCTCCGGCTGGAAGAGGCCATCCTGCTGGCCAGGAAGCTTCGGCGGGATGGCAGCATGTCACCAGGGACACGGCGAAGCGGGGCTGGCCTCACAGCAGGGCTTGGGTAAGCCAGGGAAGATGCAGTCAAAACAACCGGAGCGGGAGCAGCCTCCCTCCTGGGGATTTGCACGGGGCCAGCAGCGCTGTGGAGGAAGGACCACGGCCACGTCTGGATGGGCAGGAGGGAAGTGGCCACAGGCGAAGGCTCCATTTCTGCCACATAATTATTCAGGTGGGAGAGGAGTCGCAGCCGGATGGGGTCGGTGGCATTTTGGCCCTCGAGGACACCCAGGTACCTGACAACTTCAGTGAGACATTCGCGGAAGCCGATACTTCTGTAATCCACTGCCAGAGCTCGAGCATCTAAGAAGCCTGTAGGGATAGGACATGGGGGACAGTAAATCCATGCAGAGCTGAGGAATGTGCTTTGATTTCACTACCCTCTCACTACCACTGTGTATTTCACTTGAGGCACTTTGCTGCTGTGTGATATTACTGAAGCAGATAGCCAAGTGGGTGTCCGAAAGGACTGGACATTTGTGTGCATGAGAATAGCATCTGTGGTTATCTCATCAGGATAAAACTGCCAGGGTCATGAAGCCTCTTACTCCAGCATGTGAGATGAGTAAGAGGTTTCATTAACCATGCTCAGGAAGGCAGAATTTTTTCCTGTTGGACTCTATCAGTTATCGCTGCTGGAGACATGGATGTGGCACTGGGTCCCTCTTCACAAATGGACAATCCCTGGTCTCCCAGAACAGGGGGACACTGTGTCTCCTCGATCCACAGCTTCGCACCGGTTTCCTCTCCCTGAGTCTCAATCTTTATACTTCATTTAAACAGATATCTGGCTGAGGGACACAGGACAGTGGCAGAACTAAGACCACTGGGTCGAGAAAGCTCAAAGCCACAAAAATCAACAAGACAAAATGCAGTTGACGGCTGATTTTTAGGCTTCTGCTCCCTACTTGCAGCTTCATGAGACGATAAGCAATAAAGCAGAGAATGTCACAGCACAGCGAAGCGCCGGACCACTTTGCTTGACAGGGTCTCGTGACAATACAGCCCTTTGTTGCAGTGCAGTCAAACTGAATATCTAAACAAATGTTCCAGACCAAGTTACAGCTCTGAACCAAAGCCTGGATGCCAGCAATGTCCCCAGCAAGCCAAAAATGGGTGGTAAGCAAGCCAGAGGCTTCTTTACTGGAGCTGTGATCTCCATCCTGTTAACTGGAACAGGACAGAGGGTCTGTACTGAGGTCTCAGTACAAATAAGACCTTTGTTGAATTTTGCACAGGGCTCCCTCTCTCTTCTTATAACAACCAAGAAACAACAACAGGGGGAAAAAAAAAAAAAGGACAGAGGAAAAAAAGCCTTGTTTATTTGCTGAGTCCCCATGCAGAATTCAGCCTCTGCAGGAAATGTATCCCAGGGAGGAGGTAAAGAGTTTAATATCCTTTTTCTGGAAGCAGGCTCCATTTCTGAGCAGGACTAAGCACGTCTCTGAGCAGCTTTTAGCAGGGTGTGTGACAACAGCAGTGGTGCTGTCCCTGTGGGTCTCTGTGATTTGCTATCCCACATACCCCAGTCCTCCATATGTATCCATGGGATGCTGACCCATATGGTAGATGTAAGAAAAACAACAGGGCAGGAAACGTCCATCTGCTCTCCCTCGAAAAATATTTCCCTTGGGAAGCAGGCAGGGCAGCATTCAGGGGGACGGCAAGACACACCAGCATGGAGATATTGCTGCCTGCTGAGGCTGATGGGGAATTTCCCTTCCAGGTTTTTACCTTCACCTCACCCCTATGCTTATAAGGGCAGTTCTTACCTGTTCCTCCAGTGGCGTGAAGCATTTTTAAGTGATCTACGGTCATTTGTAGAATTTCTGCCTTCTCCAGCTTGGAAGAACCCTGTGTGTTGGGAGCAGGAAAAAAAGAGTAATTCATCATTTTATGGTCAAGAGTTTTGTGCCTCTCAGGAGCTGAGTTTTTCTTGATAACCTTCTCCCCAAAACCTTCCTGAAGCCCAGGAGTTCTCAGGTTGGAGCAGGACATCCATTCAGGGCATTGGCTCTGCTTTTTACATCAAGTGAGTAGAAAATGGAGCTCCTTCCCAGGATCCCTCAATGCACATTGCAAATCCCCATTTCTGTGCATCTTCATATCTGCAAAACACTTTCTGGATTGAATTTCTCCTCCCTAAGGCTCCTGAATATTTGTTAATATTGTTTTACCACCCATTTTCACCACCTACTTACTCCCTGAAGTGATGATGATAAGAAAGACATAGCATTGCTCCAGACTTTCTCATTCTGAGGGCTCTACCCTTACCCTGCTGCACGGGAGGATGAGTGGAAATCGGGGGGGAACACACACACACCTGCTTCTCGAAGGCGGTGGGCACCAGGCGCCGCAGTTCGGACAGGCTGCTGTTGATACGGTCACGGCGCCGCTTCTCAATGATCTGCAGAAGATTTCCAAGTGGAGAAAAGAAACCAGGGTCATTTATGGTCACAGCTCACGGTTTTAAAGCCCTCATCAACAGGTATGGCAGGTTGAGAGAGGCGCTTTGAACAGGGCCATATAAGTGAATGTTTTGGGTGCAAAAGCTGAGCAAAGAAACATTAACTAACTGGTGTGATAACCCCAGGTGAAATCATTCTCCTCCATGCCTATCCTGACCCCTTTCTGCCAGATTTGAGGCCAAACCTCTCAAAAAAATCTCCAGTTTGCTGAGACAAAGCAGGGAACAGTCAATTTTGCACTGTGTCCCAACGGTAAGGACATGCCAACAGGATCCCTCTGCACACAGGGGATGTCACAGAGAGCCCTGGCACATGGCTGGGACCAGCCTGACACCCCAGGGAGACACAGCACAACCACCCTGCTCAACACAAACGCGACTCACCCCTCTCCGCTTCTTCCTGGCTTGTATCTGAGATGTTGTAGTGGGAGACACAGACCTGGAAACGTGGCTGGAAAGGAAGAAGAGGGAATCGTTTCTTGCCCGAGCTGGAGAGCAACCTCTGTTGCACACATGCTTTAGGCACGTTTGCCATCTGCAGTTTCCGTCCCCCCCTCCCCCTCCCGAATAGTGTCTTCTGTGGTTCCCATCTCGTTTTTACCCACAACACAGAGCTCAGGAATTGGGTTTGGGGAGCCAAGCACAGACTCAAATTCCACACTCTCTCCTCCGAGAGTCTCCCACCAGCCTGGGACAGATTTCTGCACCAAATTGCCCATCCACTACCAGGCACACGACTCCTTTGATCTCAGCCTGTGCTGGCATCTCCACGGGGCTGGAAAAGCAGCAATGAGAGCTCTGGAGTCGTGTCCTTTCTTTTCCTCCATGTGTGAAACCTCCCGGCTCTCGTGTCTGAGCCTGCCCTGCCCCGTCTGCAGAGCTTTGCATCTCGGAGCTGCGATAGCGCGAGCTATAGATCTGAGCTCCCACCCAGGGCGGCAGCAAAGGGCTGGTCGCTCCTCAGGGTGAGGTTAACGGCCGCGTTGATGTGGTTTCTGAGGGCTTCCTGGAGAGTCGCTTCACAAACCACAATTTTTGGGGTGGGCTCTGATATTCTAAATGCACAGACACCCCTGAACCAGACAGAGAGGGGCCAGGACCTGGACAGGGGGAACACCTGTCAGGAGGTGACAGAGCAGGGACGCTGCCCACTGCCCAACAGCCCCAGGGACCCACTCCGGCTCAAGGGACAAGGGACATGGTGGGAAACAGGTTAAAGAGAAGGGTTCACCAACCATCCTGTGCTTGGTGGGCACGGGTGACACTAAAGGCACCAAAGATCAGCACTAGACAGGCACAGGGAGGCAAAGTTCAGTCCTGGGGTCCCCACGGAGGTGAAGTCTTTGCAAGGATGGATAACTGGGTATGGGAAACTCCTTGGAGCAAAACCCCTCTGCTTGGGGGGAGGATGGCTGGGCCACCTTCCACCTCCCCTGAGCGGGGTTTCTCCCTCCGGGAAGCGGGACTGGCTCAGGGCTGTTTCTGTGCTTTACGAAACTCGGTGCAGGGATGTTAACACGCAGGCGAGACGAGAGTCTGCAACCCCGGCCAGCACCGCGCTCCGGAGGGACTCGGAGGCTGCATAAGGCACACAAATCTGGAAAAGGGCATCTGGGTTCACCCCATCAAATCAAAACATTTTTCAGTTTGACGAAGCATTTTAATAGCAGTCTATTGAAGATGTTTCTGCAGAGACAGTGCTGTCTGCGCAGCGAGCCAAAAAACGAGACCAAACTCAGCCCATTAAAAATACATTTCGTTAGGCCCAAGTGAAGAGCTTTCAGAAGTGGTTTCACACAATCAGACGAAATAACACGTTTTTCTACTGACTGCTCCACTCGTCTCCATGCAGGTCCCCTATTTGAATGTCTGCTGGGTGGGCTTTCTCTGGGCAGAAGCACTGGCTGGCTTCACAAGCCCGAACACGCGTTGCTGATATACATAAAACACACACACGAGGAGCATGTATGATGTGAAATCGGGCTCTGCGCGGACGCTGGGGTGTTCTACACGTAGGGGGCAGGTATTGAATTCACCTGGCAGGTATTGAATTCACCTGGCAGTGCAGGAATGTGGAGTACGCACTCAAGGAGCCTGTAACAGTGAATTTTGAAACTCTCTTTGCAAAGCTGTCCAAATGGATTGCTCTTTGTGAGCTCCAGTTCCAGATGTGGATATAAAGACCTAGCTTATTGCAAAATACGTTTTTAAAATATGTTTGACAGATTTGAACCACATAAAAGATCCCGTAACTATATTCTCCGATAATTAAAATTTCTGCATTGCTCTTTGCTCGATTTTCTAATTTACGGCATAAATTTACAGCATTAATTACAGAAACTTCGTCTGTTTCTTCAAAACAAAAAGAAAAAAAAAAAAGAGAAAAAACCCAACCAAAACAAAGCCAATATCTTGCACTTCTGCAGTGACCCCAGAGTCTAAACTTGCTACACACACTGAAGCAAGACTCACACCCGGGGTGACTCACCTCTGCGCTTCAGGGGAACTGGTTTGCCCAAACCACGCGACCGATGGGTACTGGGCTGGGAACCCCGGCCAGACAGCCCGATTGCCTCCCTCTGCCCTAATCTCTCTACCTCACTTCCCACCTGGAAGTGTTTAATTTTGCCCAATCCACCAGTGTCCCATGCAGGACCGTGTTACTCGGGGTGTAAACTTGTCAGGGCAGGAACAGCTCTTTTAGCCATGTATTTGCGTGACATGAGCGACAATATACATGTACACAAATACCACCAGATCCCAGCACAGCCCAGTTCAACGACTGGCTTGAGAACACAAACATATTAGCAGCATCAGAGAGAGATCAAAAATTGATCGTTACTGTTCACTGAAATAAAATATTACAACAATTCCCGTGTTTCATCCATCAGGGTACTACACACTGGGTGTGCTGCACTGATGTAGAGGTGGGATCGATTCCATGTGCAGCAGGTTAGATATTGATGCACTTGGAAACTGCATAAGGGGTCAGTGAATTTGTGCAGGACATTACATGTCAGACATGCCCAACTCTGCTTCAGTGAGAAGCAGACTCATTAATTCAGTCCCATGAGAACCTGAGCTTGGCACCAGGCAGGGCGACTTCTCCGCTCAGGGCACCAAGATGTAAAAGGGAATTAATTCATCTGGGACCTTGCTGGACACGGAGGGAGGGGGACACTTGGCTACTGAAAAAAAAGAGTTCAAAAGCAGCTGCTTTTTGGATGAGAACAAATAGCAGAGCCCTTCCTTCATCCCCAGAGCCTGGCCATGCCCATGGACGGCCAACACGGTGTGGGAACCCGGGCTGCGAGCAGCGGCTGGGGATGCCCTTTGCCAGCAGAGCCACAGTCCAGGGAAAGGTGGTGTGAAGCCTGAGGACATCTCTGAGGAACCACGAAGAGGTCCTGTCCTTGCTATTTCACCAAGCAGCAAAGCTCTGGAGCTGAAACTGCAGCTCAGCAGTGATGGGATGGATGGAGCCTGTGAAGTGCTGCACGCTTAAAGCGGGGCTCCCTTCTCTGGCCAGGCTGCACGGGCTCCCTCCTTAATCCAGATCAAAGCCCCAGCTGGTGCATTAACAACGCATCAGCAGAGCAGAAGCGTTTCTCATGCAAAAAACTTCCTCGTTTCTTCTACATTCCCTGGAAGCCCTGGGATCGCTGGGACCGCAGCGGCATCCAGGCAGCTGACGGGTGCCTTTGCTGAGGGGGGGTCACAGCTCTATCTCGGGGTGCAGAGACCTGCAAGCTCCTGCTAACGAAGATCAGAGCTGCCCTGCTCCCCACCCGGCAGGAGAAGACAGTTGCCCTGGTTTCAACGAGGCATTTTTTTGAAGGCAATCAGCTCCTGACACAGCTTTAATCCCTGGAATACGACTTGGGGTTTCCTCGCCGGGTCAGTCCTGCCAGCATCAGCCCACACTTACCC